AGACACTAAGATGCAAGTGTTCAGTCACAAAGTACAAGCACTGTGCTAAAGATAAATACTTTTTTTTTTTCACCGAACCTACACATGGCTATATTCGGGTCGTGACTGGCGAGAAAAAACGTATTCACAAGTCTGTGCAAAAAATAACTTGACACTCGAAATGTCGGAAGAGACAATTTGGAAAGCGCAAAAAATGGCTAAATTGTACTCGTTCAGTGATATATTACTCATGAAAAACTGGAAAGTAACGACAAATGTAACGTCGTTACTTTCATCGTTACCTCAGAAAAAAGTAATAGAACTACAGTTACAAGTTACATTTTTAAAAAGTAACTCGTTACAGTTACAAGTTACCAAAAAAATAACGAAATTACAGTAACGCGTTACTAGTAACGCGTTACTACCCAAGACTGCTCAAACACAAGTTAGTCACTAACCTTGACTCGCAGGGCCAAACAGGTGCTGTATTCCTCGACCTCTCGAAGGCATTCGACAGAGTTCCCCATCGTCATCTAATTTCAAAACTTTCCATCCTGGGTATCGACCCTTTGGTCCTTTCTTGGATTCGTGGCTTTCTCTTTTCTCGCACTCTGGCTAACAACCATATATCAGATTTTACTAACGTTATATGTAGGGTTCCACAGGGGGCATCACTAGGTTCACTACTGTTTCTTATTTTTATTAAAGACTTATCAATTGTAGGCTTTGTCTCTTTGCTTACGATTGTGTCCTATATCGCAAAATTACTTTGTCTGATGACCATTTGAATCTTCCGAGTGACCTTGACCTGATTCATGCCTGGTATTTCAAATGACTTATGTCATTAAACATGCCAAAATATAAAGTACTTCGCTTTACTTGGAAACATGTAACACCATATTTTTCGTATTCCATTGGCTCTAGACTAATCATCTCTGCCTGCCTCCATCTATAAATATCTTGGTGCAACACATTGAAACAGACTCAGCAGAGGCTTTGCGCACTCTTGGGTACATCAAAAGAAATCTGAAGGTGCCACCATCTCATCTCCAGAAAATGGCATATGAGACTTACGTTGGACCAAAGTTAGAATATGCAGCAGCAATTCGGAATGCTCATCAAATTTATCCCATTAACCATCTTGAGTCAGTTCAAAATCGCACAGCCAGGTTGATTCTTAATGATCATTACCGAAGAACTAATGTCTCTGCACTGAAATTCCAGCTGTATAAGTCGCGCCATAAGATATCATGCTTAACCCCCATTTCATAAAATTTTCTATTATAATCCAATGCTTCATAACTCACTCCTACTTCCTCCTAGAAGAGCATCGTCACGACTAAACCACCCCCCCATATCACATATATCTCGGATCACAAACTACTTCAACCAATCAGAGAGGGAGAGAAAATAAACTTTTATTCTGAGCATTTCAACACGGTGGTCTGTGCCGGATGGAAGGGCTTCCCTCTTCACGAGGTCCTATATGCTGCCTTGTCTGCCTGGCCCGTGTTGACCAATTGAAGCTGATTCTCCAGGGCAGGGCTGGACAGCAAGTTCATCACTCTACAGGGGGAAGGGTGGGGGTAGTGGGTGGTCTTGATTGAATCTACACTCGCCTATTTTGTGACGGAGGGTTCCTATCTCTTGGCACACTGGGCAGTTCCCACTGTATTGAGTGGGGAACATATGCGACTGAGTAAAAGGGGGTGGGGGAAGGACCCTGACTGACTTTGCCTATACGCTACCTGTTCCTCCAGCGTTAACTTAAGATGCGGGGCTGGCAGTCTTCGCCTTTCCTTGCAGTAGAGTGCAACTACTATTTCCTTTTAGGTCACCATGGGTTGGTCCTGCACCTCTTCCATGGCTGTGGCCCGGTAAGTCAGCGCGCAGGCCTGCTAGCTGGTGAGCAAGTTTATTGCCCTCTACCACGGAGTGGGCAGGTACCCATTCAAATTCTATGGGCTCCTTTGGGGGTCTATTGTTTTTGAGCACCTGAAGGCTTTTCAGGACACCGAGCCCGACTGGAAGCTCCGGAATGCTTGGTGCGAGTCGGTGATTACCCTGGTTCTGCCCGGCAATAGGCGACCCTGTCTTGTTCCGCAATGCTTCGATTACTCTTTTAGCTAGTGTATTTATGTACCAGTTTTATTTCACACACACTTGTTCTCACTGTTTATATTACTCACCAGCCCTGTCGGTGTAAGCCACCTGTCTGTTTATATGTTGATGTTTTGTATTTTTCATGTACTTCCCCCCCCCCCCCCCCCCCCCCCCCCCCCCCCCGCTCCTTATGTAATGCCCCTGTTGGGACCTTTGAAGTTACAATAAGAATGATAATAATAATAATAATAATAAAAAAAACTGCCAGCAACATTGGAAGAGTTTAGGAGCGGGGGTGGGGCCAACAAGTTTGAATTCCTGTGCCGACGCAACTTCACACACAACTTGAGCACAATATATCACATTTCCACTCGATCTGATCGGCATTCCTAATCAGTTTTATTTTCATATGTTCAGTGACAATGCAAGCCAGTTTTAAATACTCTATTTTTATAATATTACTTTTTCGTACTTCTCAATGCAACATTTTCATGGCTGTTCCCCAGATCACGAGAGCCGCGCACAAGTAGCGAGCCTCAGTTTGGGCATCTAGGACGTAGTACGTAGCTGTTGTGCGTCTCGTACGCACTGCAAAATCTGCGTAAAACGATCCAAAACTTCTTTCAGCAAGCGCTGCGACCCAAGGGGGTATCGGAGGTCGAGCGTGTTAGCGCACCGCAACTCGTACGGCGAAAGGTCCCACTGCCAGGGATCCCCACCCCCACCCGATTCGATCTGTTGTGAGGCACAGACCCCAGGCTAGCAGTCGTACTGTAGTGGCTAAATTTTCTCATCTACAGCCTGAAACGGTGTCGCCAAAACCTAGACAGGCCGATCGCACGCTATTTAAAATAGTGAGCGTCTTATTTTCTTCCGCTGTGCCCAAAATGACGACAGGGCATGCGATTGAAAGACCAGCGGATAGGCGGGCTACCACTCTTGCCTTCGAATCGTTCGGGAGTCGGGCACCTGCATTTGCACCATGATTGAAGAAACAGAAAGAAGCGACGTCAAATCACATTGACACAGAATCACTCCAAGCTTCCTTGCTTGTGCCCTTCAGCTCTGTGCGCCGTCAGCCGTATCAACGGTAATCAAAATTAACAACGCCTGCCGCGCGCGTTCCGCTGCTCATACAAACAACAACAAACAATCAGGGTATTTTGCTGCAGAAAGTTGATTCCGCCAGTTTTAGCGAAATGCGGAGCTCAATCCCCGCTCAACCGACGTTATTCAAGGTATTGAATTTGGCGTAAGGATAGTGTGTTTGGGGTATGCGAAAAAGACTACGGTATTGACTATGGCGTACGCCGAAACGACTACGGTATTGATTTTGGCGTACGCCATAACCACTACCGTAGTCGAAGCGGAGGGGTAGTGAGATCGGCGTCCTACACCGGCGCGCGTTGCGTTCGTTGACGTTGGAGTATAAACAGCCCTTTAGCGGCAACGAGTTGGGGTGCGCCGGTAGGTTTTACTGCGCTGATGTCACCGACGTATTTCCTGAATCGGCGCCTCTCATCGCCGCATCGCAGCTGAGCGAAATTCAATGAGATATGTTGCGCTACAGCGACAGCATGGGACTAGTCCCATACGCCGGTATGCCTGTTGGGAAGTGCAGCGAGTCTTGTCACCACCCCGTCATTGTTGGCAGAAGGGCCGGCCCGTGTCAGTCGTTTGCAAAGCGACGTAGATGGCGTTTTTCGCGGCCTCGGAGATGCAGGAGCGAGCCGACGTTAAAAAAGATACGTTTGAACTACGAGTGTCAGCAAGAGCCATGTAAATACCTGTTTACACTCGGAGCGGACGCGCGCGCTTGATGGAAGTCTTGTATTCGCGCTGTTGGTAAGCGCTTCGGGACCGTTCTTTTACGATTGCAACTCGATACTGACGCGACACTCGGCAAAGAAAGGTTGGACCGGGGTCGACAGTGACGTGCAGTCTGTCAGAATAAAAATGGCATACCAATAACAAAGTGTACATACCGTGTTACGAAGGCAATCGATACGGCGTTTATTTCAGCTCTATATCACACAAAACAAGAAGATAGAATCGACGAGAGTCCCTTTTCGACGAGTGTTCGTCAACACTGCCTCGGAAAACAAGGGGAAGAGATTGACCTCACCTCTTAATCTAGAATTGAGGTCAGTGATCAAACTATAATACGGGAAGGGTCCACAAGGGTCGCGCGGGCATATTCCATTTAGCACGCCAGCCGGTCGTAGGCAGACGGTCTTGCGACGAAGCAACGCAGCGCCGAGTCGGAATGCCTGCTAGGCCTATACGCTTCGTCGGAGTCGGTGAATCCAGCGTTCTTGTTCGTCGTGGTCTGTTTTCAGTACTGTTTTCTTGCTGCTTGAAGTCGGCACGCGTGGGAAGAACACGTAGAAAAATAAACGTTCAGTCAGTCAGAGTTTTGAGAGGAAGGAAAACAAAGAAAATAAATGTTCGTCGGTCGCCGTCACCCAAGTAACTGGCGGCCCTGCCCTACTGCGCACGCGCAGTAGTTGCTTCGTTTACCACACGATAGATGGCGCTTGGCTCTCAGCATTATCAAATTTGGCAATTTTCGCCACACATCTCTAATTATGCTACAAAATGTGGATCTGAATATTATTTAACAAAACTTTTAGGAAACATTCGCCGGCTATTTATTGTTTACGATCGCGGTGCTGGTGAGGTAGGCTCTTACCCAATAGGCGATGTGGATTCGGCTGACGTGCACCGATTCTGCGTATGCATCGTAGTGAACAGGCGAAGGAAGGAAGGCGCAAAAGAGTCCAGTTTTCTTTTAAAAGTTCTATAGCAAATAATTTTTTTGGGCTCCCTATTTTTGTGTTTTTGTGTTTCTTTTCACACCTTTTACGACGTGCGGTGGATGAAACTCGATTTTAAAATCATTTCATGGTCCCTTTAAGGTGAGGTCATGCACTGTGTCACCGGCTTCGCCCCTGGTCTCAACTGGCGACCGCTGGACATTGTGCAACCTTTGCCAGCCCACCGAGTGTGCGGACTCTGCGGAGTGATAGCCCGAAGGGCGGCAGTTCTCCCCTGCACGCATGTCCTCTGCGAGACATGCTACGAGGGCGCCGTGGCATGCGGCAGCTTGTGTCCACTTGACGGTGATACTCACGACGCGGACAGCGTGGAGAGGCTTGACCTGCAGCCAGCATTCATCCTCAATCTGAGGGTGCTTTGCTGGAACTCCGGTCACGGCTGCGACTTCGCAGGACCAGTGTCTGCGCTTCTCGAACATTTCGAGAACGACTGCGTCCACCATCGTGCGCCGTGTCCTCGATGCCACCAGGACGTACCCCGGTTACACCTCGTTCAGCACTGCGCAGGCAACTGCAGCCCTGCCAGCGGTGAGCGAAGGGTGGAACCTACACGACCTGTCCTCAGCGATCTGGAGAAGGCATGCGCCGAATTCAGGCAGTCATTCGCGGAGCTCAGGGACCAAAACTACGAACTCCAGTCCAGCCTCAATTCCGTTGCGCAAAATATGAAGCTCGGACACCTACCAGAAACCACGCAGACACTTCTTGTTGCCCTCCCTGATATTTTAAAGGGCGACAGGGTGGCACCCATTGTTGAAATGATGCCCTCAAGCTCTACCGCAAGCGCGGAGATCGTTGGTGAAGTGTCAAGGTTTTCCGTCAGATTATCCACGGCGCCCTTCAGGCCTAACGAAACCCATGGTAGAGTCAGCACCTTTCATTCAGGTGGAATTCGCAAGGTCCGATTTCGGGTGGCAGACCTCAAAGCAGTACTTAAAGAACATATTCTTTTCAGCAAAGTTTTCTTTACTGAAGGCTACAAAACATTCTTCAAGCTAAAATGGGACATCGCTGGGGACATGTTTTGCTTGCATGTTTTTCTTTGCATTATTTCTGGAGGGGTCCAGAACGGGACTACGTGGCCGTTCATAAAACCCTTCACAGTGAAAATTGTGCGCTCTCAGTTTGAGCACGCGGACATCTATCACAAGGTTCATCCTGATCAGTGCATTAAGAGTGAGGGTGAGGACTGGACCATGATCCGGTTATGCTCACTGATTTCTTTGAGGACGGAAAGCCTTCCAGATGTTCATGGGTTCATGAAAGTCAAGCTCCAGTTCTGAAACTGATCGCAAACACCTCTCACGAGTTTGAAAAATGTTTTGCAATCAACTCTGTGCCATGTCCAGGAGAAAAAAAATAAGACTTTTTAAGTGGAACACAATGTAGATGTGACCATCATTCTGTAAGGATGAGCTTGCATGATAACTTGTTCATCCTTTCACGATGTAGGTTGACTACAAAGTAAATGGAGGCACATAAGGGAAAAGTGCTGTCACCCATTCTCTTTCAGTTAGAAAGCACCTTTATTTTAGCAACTGAAACCAGACCCCGCATCATTGTAAAGTTTAGCATCTTTGCTGATTTCGCTTTTTGTCACATCCAGTGTGAATGTAGAACAAATCAACTTCAAAATTGCACCATAAATGACGCAGGTGTCAGCGAAAAGTCATAAGGTGGAGGAGGTGTTTGATTGATTGTATAATTCCTTTAAAGGACTGTATAAAATCGTTTTGAAAAGGTGTATTTGTGTATGCGGCAAAAGCTGGTAAAGGATGAAGTAGGCTCTTGCATAGAAAGGGTGAGAGAATTGCAAGAAAATAAATGGTCAGCGAAATATTTGAAATTATTTTTTTTTTGTCTCTGTTGGCTATACCCTCTTTTCAAATGTTAACAGCTGTAGAAATAAAGATATTCCAGAAGATTTCCCTAATTGACTTCTTTCCCTCAAATAAAAGTTCAAAAGTTTTTAGATTTCAGTTTGAGGTGGGGGAGGAGTCCTTTGAAAGTGAAGGATAAGTTCCCAGGAGGTGAGACCAGGTGACTCCCTCCCCCTCCTTTTTTATTATTATTATTTTTTTTTCTAACAATCTTATAAGGAGGAAGGTACAGTGTTAGAGGAGAATAACAAAGGATGAAAACCGGACAACACGTTTCTCCAACTGGCAGCGTACATTTATTTTGACATCCATCACTAGAGGCGACAGTAAAGCGCCGTTCGCATATATGCGACCAAGAGAGACCAGACCGGTTTTTAAGCCTCTTGCGACGTCTTGGGACCGGATGCGCTGCAGCGGAGCTGGTCCTAAGAAGTCGCAAATGGATCAAAAACCGGTCTGGTCTCTCTCGGTCTTACTCGGTCGCAAGAGTGTGGACGGGCCTCAACCGCACAGAGTTGGAAGGGTTGAGGAGGATAGGGAAGGAAGGGACGGGGTGGGGGTTGGAGAGTGGGTGGAGATGGAGAGAAAGAGAAACATGTTTTGAGCTGGCAGCGCACGCCGAAGTCGGAGAGGGGGGGGGGCATAATTAGGGGGAGAGACCTGAAGTGACTGTAGACCATGGCATGCTGACGAACAAGAAGTGCTTTATTCTTGAGCGCAGCGTTTTTATCACAGACATGACGTCACGAGCCGGGCGGCGCTTCCGCGATGACTCGCTCGCGATAACTCAATCAGCACGCTACAACATTTCCTTCCCCCTCAAACAAAAAATGTTCATTTCCTAAAGTCCTCGGGTTTAAATTGGTCAGGCGGCTTGCATGCGCGAGAGGTTTTTGAAGAGGTTGCTTCTCCGCTGTCGTCGACAGAACCGGCATTGCTGCAGTAGGTGTCACCGGTCCTTCCCGGGCGGGGTCTGCGGGAGGCGCTGGTGCTGTTGCGTCAGGCGTCGGCGTCCTACGAGCCACGTCTGGAGGTGGCGCCGCTAGCGTCGGTGCCTTCGCACTGGGTGGTGCTGACGGCACCTGGGCTGGAAAGCTCGTGGGTGGCGGTATCGATGGATCGTCATCCACTGTCGTACGGCCCGGTCTCACGATGGGTTCCGTATGTCGAGGACGCAGGTGGTCAGCGTGTGTGAAGCAAAGCTGGTTGAGCACTTTCACAACGTAGGTCGCAGCACTGACAACCTGACACACGATTCCTTCTCCCCAGGAGACACACTCACCGCGCACTGTTTTCACAAAAACACGGTCGCCCACGTTGAACACACGTTCAGCGCCTCGCAACACATCGCATTGTTCTTTCACATGCTCTTGCTTGCGTTGCATGGCGCCGGCAAAGTCGGGTTTAAGCAGGGAAAGTTTTGTGCGTGGCTGGCGCCTTAGGAATAGTTCGGCGGGCGTTTTCCCAGTCACACTGTTTGGCGTGTTGCGATAACAGATCAGAAAACTCAATATTTTCCTGAAGAGAACACTGCCGACCGGTTGCTCGCCTTCAAGCACCTGCTTGAGCAATGCTCGTTTCACAGTTTGAACCGTGCGTTCTGCGGCACCGATAGAGGCTGCGTGGTAAGGCGGAGTGCGAATGTGTTTCACGCCATTGGCGTTCATGAAGTCAGCAAACTCAGCTGACGTGAACTGCGGACCGTTGTAAAAGTTACTTCAAAAATGTACCTAAGATACAGTTACAGTTACTCATACGAAAATGTACCTAGGTGCGTATCTAGCTACTCGCTTAAAAATGTACCTAGGTACAGGTACAGTTACTTCAAAGGTACTTTTTATTTTCACGTCAAGTATTTTTCTCAAATTTATCACGTTATTATTGGAATTAAATCCTTTGTATACTGGGATGTACACAAAAACAAGTTTGATAAACGTGCTTTATTGGTGTCATTGGGAGAAATAAGGCAAAACGCTCACCAGAGCATTCGAAGACTTTGTCTTTTTCACATGGGTGCTCGATTTGACCTCAGAATCAGGACTTCTTCGAAATGTTCATCCGACATCTTCAATCGCAGTTTGGTAGCAATTGTTCCTCCTATGCTAAAAACGTTCTCTACCGCCGCACTGATTGGAAGCCCTGTGTTGAATTTTAAGAACACGCTTTTCAGCAGCGGCATGTGCTTGAAGCAGCCCAGACTTCTTGTCGGAGCAAGTTTGGTGTACTGTACAGTCGGCGAGAAACAGCCACCGGAGGAGCCTCCAACTTGGTAGAAGTTGGCAAATGGCAAAACAGAAGGGCCCGGGGGGCCAATAAGGTCACTGGAGCGAGGCACGTGACGGCGCTGCACAGATGTCCACATCGGAGTTGAGTCCTCGTATGCCTTACTCTCACGCTCCAATTGGCTCACCGAGGACACAGCTTCCATTGTTTACGACGTCCCGCTCAAACTCGCTTGTTGACGTGGCTTGCCCTTCAGCGCCAGCACTGGCATCGAAGCCATCGGCGGGCCCTGAAGACGTCGGCCGCACGGAGAAACGAAAAGTCGAGTGCATACGCACCTAACCATCGCAACGCAACGATGCGCGAAAGTCTTCAAGCTTTCACGTTTTTTCTTTCGTTTTAGGAAGGAAGAGAATATTGTAACGCGAGCGCGTTTAGGAGCTCGTGTCTCAGAAAATCCGTCGGATGTCGGTGGCGTCGGTGGCGTGACGGGAAATTTCTGAATGGTCGATAGGGTCGTGACGTCACAGCCACATGACTTCGCGCGGGCATTTCAATCAACCCACAGCGCTCATGTGAAACGTGACGTCACGCGTGGAATGAAGGTGGTTAAAGACACGCGAATTAATGGTCGCCTCATGTTTCAAATGATCCCACTTGATAAACTAATTCATTTGCCTTAAAGAAAATTTTGAAGAATTTACGCAGGATCACACCCACGACCTTTCGGTTGCGAGCCAGACATGGCAACGGAGGGCTTGGGAATGGCACTGCGCTCCTGCCGTCATTAGAGGGCCTCGATGTCTGTCTGTGTCAGGGTAAAGGCATCGTCGCATCGAGTGTTGTTAGCGCGTGCCGAGCAAACACATAAATAAACCTTGCGGGGTAAAATGGCACCAAAGCACTGCAAAAGCTCCTCGATCGCGCCGGGAGTGTTGTATCATAAGAACTAGGTCGTTGTGTGACTCAAGAGCATGAGAAGCGATTGAGAAGGCCATGCGAACGGGGCCCGATAACCCTATCACGTTCAACTCTTGAAGGCGAGGCTTAAGAGACCTCCCAGTTTTGTTTCTTCACAAACATTTTCAGTTTAGTAAAGTGCAAAATTTGAGTTGGATTTATTGCGTGGAAACACTACGTGGTCTTAAATTGCTTTACGACTGTAATTATAATTTATTTTCAGTTATATGTTATATTGTATTTTCTACGATTTTGACGGAGTGAATAGAAAAGTACCTGTAAAAAGTAACTTCACTTAGTTACAAGTTACGGGAAAATGTACCTAAGATACAGATACAGATACTGAGAAGTGAAAGTACCTAGGTTTGTACCTCAGGTACAACAAAAGTACCTAGATACCGATTTACAGTTACTTGTACCTAGGTACTTTACAACCCTGCTCACTAGTACCTCGGGCAAACCGTAAGCAGAAAAGGCTCCTCGAAGTGTTTCCAGTGTTTTAGTGGTGGATGTAGAAGACATCACCCAAACCTCGATCCATTTCGAAAATGAATTGATGAGCACCAGAAACACATGGGCACCCTTTCAAGTGAAATCTACGTGCACACTTGACCAGCACCGGGCAGGGTAGCTCCATGGATGCAGTGGTACCGGACGGGCGGCGGGCTGAACTGCTTGGCAGATTTGACATTTCTGTATGTGATGCTCGATAGCCGCATCAATTCCCGGCCACCATACAAAACTTCGTGCCAGCATCTTCATGCGGCTGGCGCCTGGATGCTCCTCATGCAGCAAGTTCAGCACGCGGCCCCTTAGCTGTTCCGGGATCACTACACAGACACCCCATGTTACACAACCTTGTTCGAGCGAGAGCTGGTCGTGGCGCACGTAATAAGGCCCAAGTTCTTGCTGTGCGGTCTTGGCCAACCGTTCAGAGTAAACTCAGCAACGCGGGACAATGTAAGGCTTCGTTTTGAAAACTTTGCAATCTCCTCTACGTTCCATGGGAGGCACTGAAACACTGAGAGGCACTCAACAGGTTCTTCCTCAGCGGGCACCGCCTGAGGCAATCTTGACAGAGCATCAGCCACTTCCATGTTCTTCCCTCGGCGATACTTCAGCCGATATTAATAAGCTGCCAGCACCATGGCCCAACGCTGCATTCATGCGGCGGCCAGTGTCGGTGCAGGCCTTTCCTGGCCTGAAATGCCTAATAGTGGCTGATGATCAGTGTAGATTGTGAACTCTCTGCCAAAAAGATAGAGATGAAACTTTTTGAGACCAAAGATTAACGCCAAAGCTTCGCGCTCGCACTGAGCATACTTTTTCTCGGCTGGCGTTAACGTTCTCGAGGCAAACGCGATAGGCCTCTCTTCGCCGTCAGCAGTCTCGTGAAAGAGAACTGCCCCTACGCCATACGAGGACGCGTCATAGAGCATTTCTATCGGCTTATCGACGTCATAGAATGTCAGTGTTATATCTGTGGCAGGGCTCGTGCCTTGACGTGCAGCGTGCGCGCGAGACTATCGCGTGAACTGACTGACTGCCTACCCGAGCGACAGCATGCAGCCGTGTTCTAACCGGGCTGATTTCTGTAACCCGTTTTTCTTGTAAATACACCACATTTATTGGCGACGAGGATGTTCGGGTCCACGGGTTGGATCATCGTCTGACTGCTGGGGGCTTGACTGGAGCCAAGGATTGTCCAGCCTCGGAATCCTGGAGCGGCCA